GGAAAGGTGACATGATACCTGAAAGTGGACATGGGGCGTGGGTTAGGTGAGGGTCCTGCATGTATTACTGGCAAATAGTAATACTTAAACAAAAAGATTGATTTTTGGTAATTATTTGTTAGAAATGTAGAAAATATAAAAAAAATAGAAAATTATTACCACTCCAATGGTACTAATCTTTTCACAGTTTGGTGGATTTCTTTCAGACCTTTTATAAATAAATAAATGTAAATATTTGGCTTTTAATTTTTAATTTTTTTTTACAAATTTAGCTCTTACTGTATATAGTTTGGGTTCTGCTCTTTGCATTTAATATTTTGTCCAGCTTTATTGAGGTGTAATTGACAAATAAAAATTGCATGTATTTAAGATATACAATGTGATAGTTTGATATACATTGTGAAATTATTACCACAATTAAGCCAATTGACATATCATCACCTCACATAGCTACTTTTTTGTGTGTGAACAATTAAGATTTCTCTAAGCAAATTTAAAGTATACAACAACACAGCATTGTTAACTGTAGTCAGTATGCTGTATGTTAGATCTGAGAAATTACCCTGCATATCTGAAACGTTATACCCTTTGACCAGCATCTCTCCATGCCCTCCACCACCCTCTCCCACCCCCTGCTTCTGGTAACCACCATTCTCCTCTCTGCTTCAGGAACAATTTTCAATTCCACATGTAAGTGAGATCATGCAGTATTTACCTTTCTGTGTCTGGCTTATTTCACTTAGACAGTTTCATCCACGTTGTCAAAAAGGATAAGATTTCCTTCTTTTTAAGGCTGAATAATAATCCTGTGTGTGTGTGTGTGTATTTCTTATTATTCATCCCGTGACAACTACTTAAGTTGTTTTCATATCTTGGCTATTGTGAATAATGCTGCAATGAACATGGGGGTGCAGCTATTTCTTTGAGATAGTGATTTTATTTCCTTTGGATGTTTGCCCAGAAGTGGGATAGCTGGACCATATGGTAGTTCTATTTTTAATTTTTTGAGGAACCCGCATACTGTTTTCCATACCAGCTGTTCCAATTTACATTTCCATCAACAGTGTAGAAGGTTCCCTTTTCTCCACATCCTCATCAACTCTTGTCTTTCCACAGTAACCATTGTAACAGGTATGAGGTGCATTTCCCTCCTGATGACGGATGTTGAGCATCTTTTCACATACCTGTTGGTCATTTATATGTCTTTTGAGAAATGTCTATTCAGATCCTGTGTCCATTTTAAAGTCATGTCATTTGTTTTCTTGCTGTTGAGTTGTTTGAGTTCCTTATGTGTTTTGGATATTAGCCCCTTATCAGATATATGGTTTGCAAATATTTTTCTCATTCTGTAGGTTGCCTTTTCACTGTGTTACTGTAATTGTTTCCTTTGCTGTGCAGAAGCTTTTCAGTTTGATGCAATCCTATTTTTCTATTTTTGCTGTGTTACCTGTGCCTTTGTTTTCTATCCAAAAAAATCATTACTCGAACCAGTGTCAAGAAGGCCAGTTCCCCGGGGATGGCAGCTCCAACTCCACTTTTAAGCGGCTCCAGTTATATTATTATTATTTTTAAAAATATTTTTATTGATTTCAGAGAGGAAAGAAGAGGGAGAGAGATAAACATCCATGATGAGAGAGAATCATGGATCGGCTGCCTCCTGCAAGTCCCCCACTGGGGACCGATCCCACAACCCAGGCATGTGCTCTTGACAGGAATCAAACCTGGGGCCTCTCAGTTCAGAGGCCGATGCTCTATCCACTGAGCCAAACCGGCCAGGGCTCCAGTTATATTATTTTTCATATGTCCTAAGACATCCATCCTATGTAGTTGAATTAATTTCTTTTCTGTACATCTGAGATAGCAGTAGCCATGTAACACCCTTGGGAGAATTGAGAAAATAGTCACTCAGATCACTTTCTGTAGGGGCTAATCACTCTCACAGTCCTGAGGAAGGCCATGAACCTTAGCTTTTCTGGTCTTTCTGCTCTCGCAGCTCCCTGATGCCTCTCAGCAAATGACTTCTATTATCTTAGCTGGCTTTTCTGCTTCTCCCTGGGAATGCTAATTTGCTGCAAGTTACTCCATCCTACCAGGAAGTGGAAGTCTGGCCAACATGCTTTAAATGCATAGCTGGGCTCCTAGGAAAATAAGGAAAATGCCCAGGGGCCAAAAATAAAAAAGGTGGCAAGAAGGAGCTGAAGCTCCAGTGGGTAAATGAACACAAGTCAGGGCTGCCCTGAAGCATGGCAGAAACTTGGACCCTAGAGTCTTGGATTTTAACAACTGGTGAGGAGGAGGAGGAGCCAGAGCCTTAGAACGAGGCAGGAGTGGAGCGAGAACTGTGTCCCTGTCCTCAGCCCTGAATATGGGACTCTGGAAGAGCTATGTTGCTTGAATGGAAGAGTGGGCTAGGAAATATAATGGCAGTAAGATGTGTGTACCAGCTGTGTGTGTGGTGGTGGGAGGGGTGGTTTCTGATTGTTCTGCTGAAGATCTGTTCCATGGCCTTGCCTAGGCCGTTGGTGTTTGCAGTTAGACCAGGGGTTCTCAACCTTCCTGATGCCACGACCCTTTCATACAGTTCCTCATGTTGGTGACCCCCAATTTCATTGTTACAAATTGAACATAATTAAAGCATAGTGATTAATCACAAAAACAATATGTAGTTATATATGTGTTTTCTGATGGTCTCAGGCGACCCTTGTGAAAGGGTCGTTCGACCCCCAAAGAGGTCATGACCCACAGGTTGAGAACCGCTGAGTTAGACTGTCTCTGATATCCAGAAGATCCAAGTCTAGGAATGAATACTTACCACTCACACAAAGAAACAACCTGCTGTGAACATCAGCAGAGACCAGGACAAAGAGCAGAATTAGATACCTCAGTATGTTGTAAAAGAGCGATATTTAAAATGGAAAGAAACAAGGATGAAATTTAAAAATATGAGCAAGAAGCAAAACCACTATCAAAAAAGACTATCAGATTTGAGGAAGAACCAAATGTAAGTTTTAGAAAAGTGCTTAGCATTTAGGAATTACGTAATAACTGTTAGCTTCTTGCAAACTTAGCAAAGGCGATTTGATTTAGGCAGATAATTCTCAATGTGAAACTCGTGGCTATCTTTGTAGAGTCTTCACTAATACTGTTACGGGCCCATGGTCCGCTTGCCCAACACTTCAAAAGGCCAAAACTCCAAACATCAGAGTCTGGAGGAAGGAAAAGCTTATTGATGGAGAAGGTGCCAATCAAGAAGATGGAGGCCCTGTAGTTCCTCAAATCCATCTTAAGGAAGTACAGAGTTTAGGCTTCTTTTATGTGAAGGGAAGGGGAAATGGAAGGAGCTGTTTTTGTAAAAACTAAAGCCCCAAGCAGAATCCCTCTAATGATTAGTATGTCTCAGCAAAGCCTACTAGCCAGAGGGCCATGGGAGCAGCACAGGCCCAACAAGATGGGGTCCCAGAGAGCGAGCGTTTCACTCTGTTAACAATACCATGGTCTGTTGGCCTTCTCAGTTGAAAAATCATATCGCTTAGGTCAGTGACTCTCAACCTCCTGGCCCTTTAATACAGCTCCTCATGTTGTGACCCCCAACCATAAAGTTATTTTTGTTGCTACTTCATAACTGTCATGTTGCTACTGTTATGAATCGTCATGTAAATATCTGATATGCAGGGTGATGTTAGGCGACCCCTGTGAAAGGGTCATTCGACCTCCAAAGGGGTCGCGACCCACAGGTTGAGAACCGCTGGCTTAGGTGCTTCCTCACCAGAAAGGATTTATTCAGGAAAAAGAAAGGGTTGCAGCCCCATGCATGCAGACATGGCAGGCCACATGCACACCTGGCCTTTGTGCCAAGATGGAGGGGTATTATAGAAGGTAAAAGAAAGTTAAGGGAAGGAGAACCATAGAGCTCTATTATAAACAATTCTTCCCTTAGGGGTCTCTCAGTTACTGGAGTGGGAGAACTTCCACATACGCCCTAACTCCTCCTGTAGACCCTCCTGACTGACTGTTTGCCTAAAGTTCCAGTCAGTCTTTATCAGACTTAAAATTTATTGACTTAGTTGGGATTGAAGTCACCCCTTTGAGACAATTTCAAGCAGGTGTGCGAGGCATTTGCCCAGGTCGTTCAGTTTCAACAAACCTCAGGATGATCCTGTGTCCGAAAGATCCTGTCTCCACCTGACAAGCTCCTGGGATTCCTTCTGCATATAAGGCTTTGTTTCCTGAAACCCATCGTGTAGCATAACTTTTAGATTCACATGAACCTATGTAAAAACAATGAATTACAGATTAGAAAAGTAATGTGCAGGGGTGCCCGGTCAGCCTGCAGTGGGAGGAGCCAGTTGCACACAGTTTATAAGCAGGTTTATAAAAACGTATCCTTAGAGCAGTTTTGGCTACTTCCCCCCCATCCCCTTCAGCATGTTTTTCTTCATGTGTTTTTTGTTGGTTTTGGAGAGAGAGGAAGGGATGGGGGGAGAAACATCAATCATTGAATCCCAGACCCTTTGGTCAGTGAGGCGACACTCTAACTGCTGAAAAAAACTGGCCAGGGCGAACTGGTGACCTTTTGGTGCATGGGACGACACTCAACCAATTGAGCCACACCAGCCAGGGCCAGGATGTTTTTTGAGTGCCTACTAGATGCTGGGCCTTGGACTAGCAGGCAGTATGTGAGGATGACTAAAACATTGTTCCTCCTTCCCTGCAATTCACATTCCAACTGACCACCTAGTCAGGACTGTTACAAATGTGTCAAAATGAATTGCATCCATTATGTACTTCCTTCTGCAAAACTGTTGATATCTTATGCATTTCTGATGAGTCATCTTCAGCTTTGAAACAAGATCAGGTACCATAGCTGTATATTTTCCTAAGTATATGGAAACATTGGTTAGCTAGCAGGAAACTAGACTAATTTTTCAAGCAAACGAATAGGTTAAATAATCAAGTTAACTTCTCCCTATTACTAATTCCACCTCTGCAAATCTTTTTAGGATGACGTGAGGCATAAGGTTCATCTAAACACCTTTGGATTCTTCAAGGATGGGTCCATGGTGGTTAATGTCATCAGCCTTTCAGTGACTGAAGGAGCCACAGACAAGGACCTGACTGTGAGTGTCTTCCCCGGACAGCAAGGGTTGACCCTTCTCTTTTTCTTAGATGAAAGCTTTGCCCCATACTTGAGTGAGAAGTGTCAGAATATGGAGAAAATAAAACTTGTGAACAGGCACCAGATAATTTTATTTTTAACATTTAAATTGTAATTCGTGAATAATTTTAGTAATTAGTGATTCTTCTTGCAAATGAAAGCCATGAAAACCGAGAGGAGGCCAGGCCATCATGTGGGCATTTACCTCTACGCTCTTTACCCCTTTTAGATTGGATTCAGCCTCGACCGTTCCAAGAATGACGGATTTTCTTCTTCCCTGGTGAGCATTGAATGCGTGACTGGCCACACTCTTCACTCCAGCTCAGGACACCGGTGGGAGCACTGCTTTTGTTGGTGGGCTTTTTTCTTGAGGTGGCGGCTGCCGGGGCTCCCGGGTATCAGTACACCCACGGTTGTGTTGTTTGCAGTGGAGGGTGGGCCCCTTGTTTGTCTTGTTCCTGAAAACGTTTTTTCCTTGTTCTAGTGTGAATGAATAAGGTGATGTATAATTGGGTCTTCCTTTCTTAGGATGAAGATGTGAATTACTGTATTTTCAGGAAACAGTTTGTCTCTGTCCCCCTTCTAATCCTAAACTTCTCCAGAAGTGAGTAAGTAATTCTAATAATTCCTTCAGTAAAACCTTAGAGTAAAGTTGGGGGAATTTGGTCATTGAGCTAACATTCACTGAGTATCTACCATTTGCCAAAGACTGCTGAGTGCTGGAGATTAAACACAGGGCGAGGGAGACAACGGCCATCCCAGTGATCACAGCAAAGCAGAGAGGTGGGCCAGAGAGACTGATGTGGGAGAGAGGGAAGGCTTCAGGTAACTGGGGCCCAACCCACCTTCTAGTGAGGAGACTTCACCAGTGAATAAGGAAGGGAAGAACATTTCCCACGTAAATGCCAAGGCAGAATAGCACGAAATGGTGTGGTGTGTTCCGTAAAGTGGGTTCTTACTCCCATCTCAGTAAGGGAGGGACAGGAAGGTTTCTCCCCAGGCAGAACTAGAAGTGCTTCCCTTCAGCTGGATCGTCCAGTTTAGGTCCCGTGCCACTCAGGCTTGGAAACTCACTGGCCCGCGTGCAGGGCGGGTAACAGCAGTGGGGTCTGTTCAGGGAGGAGAAGGGAGGAGATGCGTTCTAGGCGTGCAGCTCCAAGTTCCCTAGACTTCACTTGAACATTTCATTGTTCTTTATAAAATATATTTTTATTGATTTCAGAGAGAGGGAGAGAGAGAGAGAGATAGTAACATCAATGATGAGAGAGAATCATTGATTGGCTGCCTCCTGCACGCCCACTACTGGGGATTGAGCCTGCAACCTTAGGCATGTGCCCTGAATGGGAATCGAACCGTGACCTCCTGGTTCATAGGTCAGTGCTCAACCACTGAGCCACTGCAGCCAGGCCATTTCATTGGTTTTATCTCATTCTGTTTCCCTTGTACACCAATTTATTGACTATATCACAGATACTTGGAAAGAATGTACATCAGAATTGCGTGGTTAAAAAAGGACACATATGTAATACCTTTTGTAATACTTTAAGCAATAAAAAAATAAATAAATAAAACAAACAAACAAAAAAGAAGCAATGTTAACTCAAGAAAAGAAAAGAAAAGAATTGCGTGGTTGCCAAGAATTTCAGCCCTGGGGGGGAGACTGCCTGGATCCTCGCCAGCTCCCTACTGGCTTACTGCTCTTGGGCAAGGTGTTTAACTTTCCCGAGCCTCCGTTGCAGCATCTGTAAGATGCAGGTGATAGAATCTACATCGTAGGATTACATGACATAATGAATTTAGAGCTTGAAGCCGTGCCTAAGTACAACACTTAAAGGTCCATAAGCATTACCTTGAACTTTCCCCTTCTATCTTCTTTGACTGTAGAGTGAAAATAAAATCTCCACCAGAAGCTGGTACCCAGTTACCAAAGATCATCCTCAGCAGCGATGAGAGACAGGAGGCTGGTGTCCCCCCGGTTTCAGCAAGCAGCCAGACTGAGACGAGACGAGGTAAACGTGAGGTGGAGCTAGCCTTTCCTTCACTGCCCAGCTTGGGCGATTCTTTTTGGTTCCTAAGTAAAAACAAACATGATCTAAGCATTATTTTATGGTAAAATATATAATCATTAAAGAAAAGTGGAAAATACGGAGAAGGTGGAGAAAGAAAAGTCATTTCTCCTTACCGGTACACCCAGTGTTAAAATTTTAGTAATTGATGTTTTACCTAAGGTTGTTTCTTAAGTGGAGGACATTTAAAGTTCACGGTTACAGGTACCACTTTAAGCATCCCTGTTCACTTAAAGATATTTTATACTTATCACATATCCGTTAAATGGGTAGTATAATTTACTCAACCTCTCCCTTTAAGGAGGCATATTTTCATTTTGATGCTATTATAAATATTGCTGCATTGGACTTCTTTGTTCGTAAAACTTTTTTCAGATATAGAACTTTCTTTAGGATGGGTTCCCAGAATTGGAATACCTGATTCAAAGGATCTGAGTACGTCTGTTGGTGCATATTTTTAGTTCCTTTCCAAATGAGTTGTGTGGGTTTATCTACTCCTATCAGAAAACATGTGGGAATAGTGCCCATCTCACCATGTCCTAGCCAGTACTGTGTGTGTGAATGTTAGTGAAAGGCAAAAGGCCATTGTTTTTGTGTTCGCTGTTGTTACTAGGTTGCACTTTTTTCCTATGTTGACTAACCAATTTATATTTACCACCTCTTTTATTAACTGTCAGGTTTGTCTTTAAAAGCAAATTAATATTCATTGCATTTTATTTATTAATAAATATTAATAATATTTATTGTATTTACACCTTTTTTTTACTTTGTCAAAACTCTAACCCAAACTAGAAGACCTGCAGAAAGACTGCATTTGTGTGGTGGTGTGGTTTCATGTCTGCGCCGTCCCCTCATCCAGGTTCCTCATGCACAGTGACCATTTCCTGAGCAGGAAATACTCCTTTCCTTCTTTTTCTTCTTGAACCCTCTCCCTTCCTGCAGGGAGTGTGGGATTCTGCCTTCCTCATGAAGAATATCTTAAGTAAAAATAAGGCCCAGGTGCCCTCTTTGTTCCATGAAAGAAGCCATTAGCAATCTTAACACTTCTTGCCAGGCTGTTAATTTTTCCATGTATGTAAATAGATCTCATATATATTTATTTTAAACAGTGACCTGTTTTCAAACATAATTACCTAGATAGTTAGAAAAGTCAGGCCATGTGGCATCTCTGGCAGTAACATACACTAGATTATCAGATGAGTTCCCTGTTGGTACTGAATATTATCACTTATTAGATACATTTATAACATAATAACTTCCAGTTTGCTGCTTCTACAGCTCAAGAATTATTTTGAGATTTAAAGAGATGGCGGTCCAGCCCTGGCCGATGTGGCTCTGTTGTTAAGGTGTCATCCTGGGCACCAAATTGTTGCTGGTTCCATTTCCAGTCAGGGCACATGCCCGGGTTTTGGGCTCTATCCCTTGTCAGGGGCATGCAGGAGGCAGCAATTGATGTTTCTTTTTCCTCCTCTCCCTGTCCTCCTCCCTCTCCTCTCCTCTTTCTGTAAATATCAATTAAAAAAAAAAAAAAATCTGCCAAAACCGGTTTGGCTCAGTGGATAGAGCGTCGGCCTGCGGACTGAAAGGTCCCAGGTTCGATTCCGGTCAAGGGCATGTACCTGGGTTGCGGGCACATCCCCAGTAGGAGATGTGCAGGAGGCAGCTGATCGATGTTTCTCTCTCATCGATATTTCTAACTCTCTATCTCTCTCCCTTCCTCTCTGTAAAAAATCAATAAAATATATTTAAAAAAATAAAAAAATAAAAAAAAATTAAAAAAAAATCTTTTTCTTTTTTTTTAAAAAGAGAGAGATGACAGTCCACAAGATAGCATATGGTCTCACCTTTTTTGTTTGTTTGAATTATTTGATATTAGACAAGCTAGAGTCTCATAAAATGATGCTATGATATACATATGAGTGAATCCTACAGTAATACCTTTTCAATGTTTCTGCTTCTAGAGAGTGGAAAGTCTAAAAGAAGTACAGAGAATTCAAAGGTAAGAACTAAGCACCCATTTGTGCTCAGCTTTTTTGTTTATATATGTATATGTGTGCATGTATGGATCTCTTTTTAAACATACACATACACAGGTACATTCATATGCATACACATGCCTAATGTACAGGGAGCTGCCTTCTGTTTGGAGACATAATGTTGGCACACTGAAACAACTTAACAGTGAAATTGGGTGCTGCATTGCACAGCACTTAAGTGCTAAAGGGCCAGATAGTGGGTGGAGAGGGAAGCGAGCTATCTGGAGAACCCTCTGGAAGGAAGTTTCACCAGGGTTTGAAGTTTGCTGGATTTGTTTGGGGAAGAAGAGATGGAATGGGATGAAGACTGTCATAAGCAAAGACTGGAAGTGGAAATGAGCGTAGCAGGTGCTGGGCACTGGCCTGTTTGAAGTAAAAGGTACATATTTGGGAGCAGAGAGAGGGATCTTAGATAATACAGAGCTGGCTGCATATGCTGCTCCTGCCGTAGACACTTAGCTGTCTCGTGAGATCCACTGTCTCGGTGTCACAGTGCTGGTGCTCAGGTCACCCTTATTTCACTTACTGTTGCCCCATTGTGCTAGTGTCGTGATGCTGGCCATTCAGATACGCCAAAGAGAAGCTTCCTTTACGTGAAGAGGTGAACATTCTTGACTTAAAAAGGAAAGAGAAAAAAAAAGCCATGGGGAGGTTGCTAAGATCTACAGTAAGAATGAACCTGTCTTTGAAACTGCCTACTTTATAAATTAAACTTTCTCATCGGTATGGGTGTATAGGAAAAAGCATAAACATAGTACATGTAGGGTTTGGTGCTATCTGCAGGTTCAGGCATCCCCTGGGGGTCTTGGAATGTATCCCCTGCAGATCAGGAGGGAGGACCATATTTAAAATGGCAATTTGATACGTTTTGGTTTATGTGTACATTGTGAAGCTATCACCACAGTAAAGTTAGTGAACATTACCCATCACCCCAAAAGTGTTTCCTGCCCATTGCCATGCTCCTGTCCCCTGGCAACCACTGCTTTGTCCCCGTAGATTAGTTTCACAAAACTGCGCAGATGGGTTATGCGGTGCGTGCTCTTTTGTGTTCTTTCATTCAGCGTAAGTATTCTCAGTTCATCGTGTGTGCATATGTCAGTCGTTCTTGTCATTACTTCGTCCGCTGGACCAATGGCAACCTGTTACTCACTTGCAGTCGGGAGTGGAGTCCAGGGATGGTCAGGATGTGACCTGGGTTGGCACCCTAGGTCTTGCTGAAGCTTTAGTAGTAGAGAAGTGCTCCAGCAGGAAGTTGGGGGGCGGGGTGAGGAGTGGGGTTAGTGAAGAGGCAGAAGACAGCTGAGTAAAGGCAGTGGGTGAGGAAGAACGAACATTCTCTGTGAAAGGGGATTTCAGACATCGAAAGGATGGTGGATGTTATTTTTAGGAAGCTTTTAAAGGTCGGCAATTGTAGGCTTTCAGAAAAACGTGTTTAAGTCTTTATGTTTATGTTTATGTTTATGAGCTTACTTTTCCTGCCAGTGTCCTAAAGCAGGTTGTTATGTCTTTCTAGGCAATGGAAGAGAAATCCTTTTCTGTTCGTAATAATGGCAGGGCACTTTCATTTCGGGTATGTATCTTCTTTGAGTAAAGCTTGATCTCTACCATGTAAAGAGTGAATTTTTAAAAGCAAAAGCATTTTGAATTTAGGAATAATTAGGCATGCTATGTATCAGTCACTTGAATACAGTAGCTCTCTTCATAACAAACCTACAGGGTGGATATTATCACCCGCCGTGTAGCAAATCATAAGTCTCTAAGAAGAAATAACTTCACGAATGTCCAATATGAGTGATAAGGCCCAGATTCCAACCCAGTTCTGCCTGGCTGTCCCCACAACTCTGCCTCTAATCCTACGCTGACTCCCATTCCGAGTGCTCCAGGAGGACCATGGGTGATCCTTTAGGGTGATGATGTAATTTTAGATGAGTTCACTGAGACTCAGAGGCCGTGAGTGACCCGCAACGCTGTCACCATTATTAACTGCATGCGAGTGTTTGTGGCGGCATCACAGCCCATGTATGTGGTAGGAGGTTGGACTGGATCTCAGCACCAACTTACCAGCTGGTGACCTTGGACAACACTTCACTTCGGCTCCTTGCTCTTTAATCATCTAAGAATGAAAAACGGTGGGACTGTCTCATAGGGTTGCTAGGCAGATCATTTTTTTAAAGTGCTCTGTAAAGTGCTATGCAAATAACCTTTATTATTACTTTGTAAAAGTCACTGCCTCTCTCCTAACCCGTTTTCATTAATTGAGGTATAATTTGCTTACAGTGAGTGCACAGGTCTTGAGTGTACCGCTCAATCAGTGTTGACAAATGCAGGCGGCCATGTAATCCACTCTGCCAGATGCTCTGCTTTTATCACTGGGGAAGTCCCCCACCCCTGCATCCTCTGTTCTGGCTTATAGCGGCTTATATTGCCTAACAATTTTTATATGTTAAGTTTAGTAGCCATTGGTATTAATAGCTAACTGAGAGCTTTTGGGGTAGTCACCTCCAAATCCTCCGCAGCTTTCGGCTGTCTCAGAGGGAAAGCCCAAGTCCTTCCACTTGTCTGCAAACCCACAGGTCGGCCGCTGTCATTTCTATCCTTGGCTCCTGTTCCCTGCCCCTCCCCTCCCCTTGCTAACTCTGCTTCAGGCACACGGGCCACCTTGCTGCTCCTAGGAAAGATGAAGCCTCAGGCTCTGCTTTCACTGTCCCCACTGGGAGGAACACTTGTCCCTTGGAACCCTTTTGATTAATTTCTTTCTCCTTCAAGTCTTTCAAACACCACTGTCTCAGCAAAGCTTCCCCAGTCACCGTGTTTTAAATGCAGCCACTCCCCTTTGCCCCCCCCCCCCACTCCGTTCTTTTCCCTTCGCACTTCTTGTTTCCAACATGCTGTAACTACTTACTGTGTTTGTCAGTCTCTCCCTGTAGAAGGTAACCATAAGGGCAGGGATTTTCTGTTTTATTACTGATGTATATGAAATTCCTAACCTTGGACCTGGCCTCTAATAGGCTCTCCATCAGTAATTATGGACATGAATGAATGAATGCCAGGTATTGTGCTAAATACTTTTATGTTATCATTATCTCAGTTCATCCTCCCAACAACTCTATGAAGTAGGTACTGTTATTATTCCCCTTTTACAGATGAGGAAACTGAGTCTCAGAGAGGTTAAGTAACTTGCCTAAGGGGAGGACTCAAACCCAGGTTTTTCTGACTCCAAGGCCCATGTGTTTAACCACTTTGCTTTACTGCCTCCTTAAGAAAATACAAAAGGTACTTTTCTCTCTTTTTTCCCTCACTTTAAAATGCTTGTTCATAAAATAAGTGTTTTGAATGTTTTTGTAAAAAGCCTTTAAAAAGTAATTCAAAAGGAAAGCATATCGGATGTATACATTGTCAGTTACTAATGCGTGCGTCAGGTGAGTGTCAGGGCAAAGCAGCAGACACTGCTGATGAGAACATGGGTGGAAATGGCCAGTTCGTAGGGTCCCCGGGATGCATAAAACAGGCAGTGCCGGGCTGCTTGCCTTTTGTCCGCTTCCCCTCTCCTTGCAAAGGAGTCGTAGGTGACTCCTTCCTGTTCTCCTGCCCAGTGTTCTCCCCGTTTTGCACAGTGAAGTCACCTGAGCCTTCCTGCTCCATCCACAGAACAAGGATGATCGTTCATCCCCAGAGCAGGAAAGCGACTGTCGGAGCTTATTCCAACTCTAAAATTGACATTTTTGCTTTATTTTTGTTTTCTCCTTAAGGGTCAAGTGCCAACTCTGATCTCTTTAATAATTATATTGATTTTTTAAAATATTTCTTAACTTCATCTGAGTCTTTGAGAACTAGGAAGTTAATATGTTTAGAAACATTTTCTATTCTGGCTACCCGTGTGGACTAAAATACACGTCCGACGTTTACAAGGATGAGTTTGGGACGTGGCTTAACAATTTCAACTTGAATATTCTTGGCCTTTTATTTCGAGCTTCTTCTCAGGTGTCTCTTTTTCCTCCCCGCCTGTTAAATTGTAAGGTATAGTATATATACAAGAGAGTGTTAGTACCTATATTGGTGATGAATACAAATAGTTGTAAGTAATCACCGTTGTAACCATCACTGGGACAAGAGATGGAATCATGCTAGTACCTCACAAACTCCATATCCTTCCCAACTCTGAGTAACCCCGATTGTGAAGAAAATGTTATAATCATGTCCTCACCTTTCTTTATAGTTTACCATCTGTATATGTAGCCCTAAGCCACATAATTTAGGCTTATAGAAAAATTCTCTAGGATAGACTCAGGAGTTGCTTCTATGATCTTACATACATGTATGATTTCTTTTGATTTACATTAAACTTCATTTGGACACATGAAATATAAGAAAAACATGTCTGAATATAGAAAAATGTAGTATTACTGTTGCTTAAAATTACAGGTGTAAATTTTAATGAGGGAAATTGTTTTGTTTTTAAAGGATTTGTAATTGGTTTTTAGAGAGAGCAGAAGGAACAGGGACAGAAACATCAGTGTGAAAGAAAACATTACCGGCTGCCTCCTATATATTCCCTACCCAGAATTGAGCCCACAACTCTGGCATGTGCCCTGACCGGGAATCGAACTGGCAACCCTTCAGTGCATGGGATGACGCCCAACCAACTGAGCCACATCAGCCAGGGTGGAATATTGGTTCCTTACCTTGTCAAGTATTAAATGAACCTCCTTCAGTTGTCAGGAGTATTTTTACCTACATAATACGTTGGCTTGAAAACTAGATAACTGCATCTTCTAAGGTTGCCTTGGAAGACTTCTGCCAAAATCCATCACCAATGGATAGATGTGTGATAAGGCAAGGATAGTAAAACGTTCATTGTGGAATCTAGGTAGTGGGTATATAGGTATTTGCTGTATAATTTTGTCAACTTTTCTGTTAGCTTGAAAGTTGCTATAACAACTTTGGGAGGGAATCATAGAACAAGAAAACATCTTTAAATTCTGCTCTGGGAGAATTTGATTTCTTGAAGGCTATCTTTTTTTCTATTCATAGTATTCATGATTTCCTTCTAAGACTTAAAAATTTAGCTGAGGATTTGGGTACCCTTTAATTTTTTTCTCCTTCACTTTCAGTTTTCCTTTAACATCAGCACCAATGAGCAGGAAGGCCTCTACAGTCTTTATTTGCATAAATGCACTGGACCTAAAATGCAGTCTAATGACAAGTTTTCATTCAACCTTGATGTGAGTACCATATGGAAACTGTTCCACATGAGTTTTGTCAGCCGTGTAATATGGAAGACATTTATCTATAATAATAAAAGCCTAGTATGCAAATCAACCAAACAGCAGAACGACCATCTGAATGACCTTCCGGACAACCACGCTATGTATGACATGCACTGGCAGCAGGCCAGCCAAGGCGGGTGCCAGGCCACCCTCTGTGGGGCAGTCGATGGGAGGCTCCACAATTGATCACCCCAAAGAGGGAGGCCCAGGCCAGCCAAACAATCGTATCCCATGCTTGTTGCCCGCAGAGGGAAGCGACTGGTGGTGGTGGGGGAGGCCAGTGTGCAGTGCCGCAAAGGTGGCAAGCAGTGGTGGGGGCGGGGCCAGCTGCCAGCAGCCAGGGGAAGGAAAGTCCCGATAGGCCCTGATCGCCGGCCAAGCCTAGGGACCCTACCTGAGTGGATTGCGAGAGGGCGCAGGCCCGGCTGAGGGACATCCCTTCTCCCCCACTCCTGTGTATGAATTTCGTGCACTGGGCCTCTAGTTTCTCTATAAGAATAGATCTTAAGACCGCTTAAGCAAAGTAAAAGAAAAGTGTGGCCAGTGGGCAGGAACTTTAGCAGAGGATTCATAAACAAGGACTATAAAGCAATTGGGTGTGTTTACATTTCAGCCAGTGCACTAAGAATGTGTTTGTTCTCTACTGGTATTCACTCTTAAGCTTAAGTTAAACAGCTAAGATTACAAAGTGCTGGATGTGAAATGATCTGTTCCTGAAAAGTAAAAATAAATTTCATGTTGGTTTCAGATTGAGATCACGGAGAAGAATCCTGAGAGCTACCTCTCTGCAGGAGAAATCCCTCTCCCTAAGTTATACATTTCTATGGCCTTTTTCTTTTTCCTTTCTGGGACCATCTGGATTCACATCCTTCGAAAACGACGGTAAAATACTCCTTCCTTAAGTCCTTCAGCTTCAAGTGGGTTGGTATTTGTACAATTTCACCTTTGCTGGCTTCTGCACCTGGGCAGGATTGGCACCGGCTATTTTGTTCTCTTCAAAGGGCATCTTCCCTGAAACGTAGGACACTGCAGGAGCTTTGCATACCTTGGTGTTTGCTCACTTCCCATTGTTTTGCTTAAAGGCAAATCCAGAGATTTCAATAACATACAAGCAAAATAAAATGTATATAAGCTGAGCGTTTCCGTAGCGAAGAGATCACAGTGCAGCACTCCACGTGAACACATTGGTCCCAGTCAGGGCCTCTTTGTTCTTGAGAACAGGTGAGGGACAGGGACCCACTGCCTGGCCGAGAGCATGAATTACCGCTTCGTACAGAGGCCTCAGCTCGGAGCTGGGCTGGGCTGGGAGAGCTGCTGACCTTCCGATACTGACCTGGGCTTGTCACTGGAGAAATCCTCTTCAAAGCCCATCTGCCTGGCTGTTGGCCTTTCTGCTGAAACCCCTGTGGCTTTCACTTCCTGTACTTGGCTCTTGAGGAGACCAGCTGCAAGCTGCATGTAGGTGGAGCTAATGTTTAATTCTGTCTCTCTCCCCCAAAATTGAGAAGCAAAATATAATTTTCAGTTAAAGGATACAATTCTGTTATAGGATAAGGCCCATAAGCTAAGTAAATGATGGCGTGTGAATATGGCATTGCAGTATGGGTTAAGGTAAATTTATATAATAATCAGGGACCCCAAATACCTCTCTCTGGAGCGTGGGGCAGACATTGATGCCTCTGACTTGCTCAGCTGGGAGCAGTGGGAACACCCTGCCCACCGCCACATGGAACGAGCCTTTTGTTTACCTGGGAAGGACCCCACCCAGTCACTTGGACTAGACGATCAGCAGCCGTGAATAAGACGACAAGAATCCTATGAAGTTAGGCCATAGAAGGGTTTTGTTTTGTTTAAAGAAAGTTTTGCCTTTGCTTTAATTAGAAAAGTGAGAAGTGGGAGCGAGAGCTGATTTCCAGTGTGAACGCTGTTACCGCCTGTGTGCCTGCTTCGCGCTTGGTCCTTTCCCTCAGCTATGGAACTGGGCAGTGAGTCCTGCGCCGGCTTCCTCTGAGAGCTGAGCTCTGGAGATTTATGTGCAGGAGGGGTTTGCTCATCAGGATGCGCTGCAGATGTGAGGCACATGTGAGGTGCTTTCATTCCCTTTACTTAGTGATACAACAGTCATGGGCACTGGTTCACTTGAATAATAAAAACTGGCAGCAGTTTTAAATGTGTGGTAAATGAGGCTGACCTACTTTGTGCATGTTTTAAGCTTCTTATTGAAGTATAGTATACATACAAAATGTATGATTTCCGCCCCCCACCCCATCCTCTTGTTTCCCTGGGAGTCTTACAGCGGGTCGGGTCATGTGAAGTTGGAAATTTAAGTCATGGAAAGGATGTGACTCCATGGCTGCCGCTGCCTTTCAGAGTCTTGCAGCCCCTCCCACTGGAAGGAGTTGAGAGATCTCTGCCTGGGTTTATTGAGGCCTTGACATGGGAAGCAAGAGCCACGGGCAGTCAGCTACAGAGCTGGGACTGGAACCCAGATGTCCTGCTGTGTATACATGGTTCCTCTCATCTCTGTGCTGTCTGCCTTGGGCCCAGAGCCCCTGGGCAGTGGAGGGAAGCTGGTCGTTTTGAGTCAGGCACCTGGTGGTGGTTATTTTAGCTAATGTTCCCACAGCTCCTTGAGGTAGGCAGGTGTAGCCCCATTTTTAGAAGAGGTTACTGAGGTTTAGAGGGATGAAGGTCATCGGAATAGAACCATATTGGAGCCAGTTCTGTGTGGCTTTGGACCCTGTGTTCTTTCTATCACATCACTGCCCCAGGCGGGAGGCGGGGAGGTTTTAACTAGGACTGCTAGCTAGTCGAGGTTGCTGGGGGTGGGGTGGGGGGTGGCGGGGGAGGGTGACAATGGGCAGTTTTGCCCTGTGGTAAATCTAATTGCTATTCACAGTGACAGACTAATCTGGCCTTGACTTCCTTTTTGACTTTTGGGCACTGGGACAGGAAATTACCGGAGAGGAAATCATTCTGGAAACAGCATATGTCAGTTCAGGGCACACCCTCCTTATCATCCTTGCAAGGCCCTCTCCTTCGTTTCCCTTCATTTCCTATCCCTTCTCTCATTCCTTCCCAACCACTCAAAAGTGTTTATTATGTGTTTTCTGATATTCGTGCACTTTTATAAATTTGTAATGTTTATTCATGTTGCATGTATTTTTTTAAATTTTTTTTTTATATTTTATTGATTTTTTACAGAGAGGAAGGGAGAGGAATAGGGAGTTAGAAACATCGATGAGAGAGAAACATCTATCAGCTGCCCCCTGCACACTCCCCACTGGGGATGTGCCTGCAACCAAGGTCCATGCCCTTGACTGGAATCGAACCCGGGACCCTCCAGTTCGCAGGCTGATGCTCTATCCACTGAGCCAAACCGGTTAGGGCAATGTTGCATGTATTTTTAATTTATGTAAATTATACTATCTATGGATATTATTATTAGCATTTTTTACATGGTGATATCTGTTCTGTTGATTTTTTTTTGTCTGATGTCCCACTGTCCACATTTTGTACTGCTGTGGCTTTGCCGAATGTCTTGATACCCGAGTTGGAGTTTCCCGTGGCTCTTACAGAAGTCTGTGTTCTTTAATAGAGTTTTAACTTTTTCTCCAGAATGGTCTTGTGTGTCCTATTGGTTAAGTCCTGGGGGAGGTGGGAAAGGGTAGTGGAACGTAGTGCTCAGCAGCCCAAAGGTGGACAGGCACCGGAGTGAGCCTGGGGGTAGGGTGGAAGTGGGTGCTTTACCCCACTGGCCTGGGGTGTTTGGCAGGTTCCAGCCTTGAAGGGGAGCAAAGAGGGCACAGCCCTCCTTGTCACCTGGCGCTGAACCGCCTCCCCGGGGCTGCACATTTCCCCAGTGAGCTGTAGCTCCTCCCCTCTGTTCACTGGGGTTTCAGTGTCCGCACATCCATCCAGTCCACTTCCTGTGGCCTTTCCCGATGGTTTCTGGGGAGAAAGCCTGTTCTGATTTCTGTCTCACGGTCTCAGCCTCTTCAGGCTTCCGTGCATGACTCAGTCCCGTTTGCAGTGTGGGCTTCGGGGGTAGAGGTGCCTCTGGGGCTCCTTCAAGGCCTGTTCTGCAACAGAAAGGACTTTTTAAAAGGCTTCATGTTTGGGGTTTGCTTAGGTTACATGTACTGCCTTCTTATAAAAACGTCTGATGCCCGAGGCTCCAAGCTGTCGTGTGGGAGAATGGAATATTTCTTTCATTCTTTTCTCTCTGTTTTTATAGGAACGATGTATTTAAAATTCACTGGTTGATGACGGCCCTCCCTTTCACCAAGTCTCTTTCTTTGGTCTTCCATGCAGTACGTATGGGTATTTTGGGGTCATTTATGAAATGATGTTCAATGCTATATGATCAGGAAAATCAGGGAAAGGGGATAGATCCGTGGGAACCCAAAGGTAAAGAACGCCTTTCTCAGGAAGCCTCTGACGGGAGGGGCGGCTGGTCATGGGCGTAAAGCATCAGAGCCTGGAGTCCCAGACGCAGGCACCGTCTGATAGCAGTGCAGGCCCAGAGTTTCCCTTGGACACAGGCTTGTTTTCATTTCTTTGTTTGGGTGGGTGGGTGGGTTGGGTCATTTCTTGAGATGAGACTGCCACCTGCTGAAGTGTGTCCACGGCTCCCTCTTCCAGACCTTCCCCGTGTTCCCATTTGATTGCAAGTCCAGTGTTGGCGCTCTAATTCGAGAGAAAATCGAGACACACAGAGGCATAAAATTGAACTGAGCTTTGACTATTTCGCCCCGATGCTGATTGCCATGAGCCTGCCCCTGAGAGTAAGGTCACAGCTCCCCAGGGTGTAGGCCTACGAGGCACCCGCAGGTGACAGTCTCCACATGTGCACTACCTACTGCTGCACTTACAACGCCGTCAGGGAAAAGTAGCAGTAGCCACTTAGTCTGAAGAGAGAACAGGTATCTGGGTAATTTTTTCTTTGGATCTGAGCTGATTTTTTTTTTTGAACCATGTGGATAATGAGTGATGGGATCCTTGAGTGACTGTAATATCCAGGTAGCCGAGTATGATAGGAGGAAAGATGTGTAAGACACGTGTGTCCCCTTTGTGAGTTCTGCCAGGAGCATGTCAGTGCCCTTCTGAAACGTGCCCCTTTAATTAAAATGAGATGCTGGCTTCAGGTAGCTCTAAATTCAGAGTTTCTCCCCCCAAAGAAAACAGTTTTCTAAGCTGGGTGATTCCATGTAGGTTTTTACTGAGTGACTGGGTGGTGAGAGGTAAAGTTCTCGGGTGGGACACTGAGAAGACCTATGGCATTTGGACCATGGAGATTGGAAAGAAGAAATGAGGCAGCCATTTGCCCGGGGGAATCACCTGCCTCAAGAGAGGGACCCAGGCTGAGCGTTAGTGACACTGAAACGTGTCAGTTTCTCAAGCTGGTTGACATTGTTCGCGCACTCATGTGCTTTATTGTGAATTGACAAGTGAGTCACTGGACACCTTATCATGAGGTCTCTGTGGATTTCCGTTTGACTGCACTGGGCGGGGGCCGGCCAATGCCCTTTCTGAAATGCCGTTCGCTTGCAGATCGACTACCACTACATCTCCTCCCAGGGCTACCCCATGGAAGGCTGGGCTGTCGTGTACTACATCACTCACCTGTAAGTGTGCAGGGTGACTCGTGACGTACTCATACCGGGACGTGACATATCAGGTGTTGGGGAAGAGACCTGGCTCAGGTTGACTGGCCCGCCCTCCTGTGCAGCCTGGCTGGGTTCCTGCCATGCCAAAGGGGTGTGGTGGACGGGTAGCTGTCCACACTTGAGAGCTCGGGGCTGTTGCGGGCCCCTGGGAGGGGGCTGCCTCCTTGTGGGGACTGGCTGCTCAGGTGGTGGGCTGCATAGCTAACTATTTGTGTGCGGAAGACTTGCTCACTTCAGAGGAACTTCCTGGATTTGGCCACCTGTCTTTTGCAAGAAGCACGTGAAATCATAGCATGAGCTGTGGAATCTAACTTGCAGGGTGGGACTCCAAAGAGACCCATTTTTGTCTGTGACATTTTTCTTTTTCAGTTTGAAAGGGGCCCTGCTGTTCATCACCATCGCGCTCATTGGCACTGGCTGGGCTTTCATCAAGCATATCCTTTCCGATAAAGACAAAAAGATCTTCATGATTGTCATCCCACTCCAGGTGAGGGACGCTCCTCCGCTGTGCTGCTCTGTCCCCCACTTAGCCGCTCCAGGCCGGTCTGGGAGCGGGGGTGGCCCACACAGAAACGCCAGCTTCCCCATGGGGGGTTCTGTTTCTGAATGTGGACAGGCCTAGGCCTCAGGCCACGGCACTGGGAGATGTTTGACCGTCAGTCATCTTTAACCGGCACATGGACATCTGTCCCTTAGTAGAGGGCTGCTGAAAAGTTAGGGGACCTGCTGGCTTCTCTTCCTCCCCTTTGTGTCCTGTAACCTAATGGGCCTCTTAGAGGAACTCAGTACATAGCGATCTTGTTAAATTATTTTAAAATTCTGAATGACACCAGTGAGTTCCCACAAGGTAGATGTTGGCAAACATTTCTTAGAGCCTCCCTGTGCTTGGGGCCTCACCAGTGAGCCCGCAGGAGAGGAGCCTTGGAACAGAGCCGGGCGGAAGGGCCCGCAAGCCGCGGTCCTAGCGGCGACGCACAGCTACTCTGCTCGGCCGGAGTGCGCCTGCTCGATAAAGTTGTTCTCGTCGCCCGGGCTCATCTTGGAGCACGCTGCCCATGTGGCAGGTGAGGGAGGAAGAGGCCAGCCCCCGGCACGCAGGCCGGCCCGCTCAGCTCCGGCCACAAAGCCGCTCCACGCCAGGATAAGGGATACACGTTACCGCCAAACCAATGGCGCACACCAGTTACCGAAGGGTTCCAAGGAAGACTGGTCATCCAGACTCTAATGACCTGGGAGGCTTTATGTGTGGATGGGCCTTGCCTCGATGCTTAAGGAAAGAAAGATGACAAAGATGACAGAGGCCCAGGGGGAGTGGCAGCAGCAGGAGGTGCTGTCCAGTGGACAGAGGTGCTGAGCTGCCCGGGTCTTGGCTGATGAGCTGCCAGGGTCTGGAGCTCGTGAGTGACGAGCCCGGGCCTCTGCCCACTCTGCCACACCGCCCCCTGAGCCCCTTTTCCTCTGGTGGCCGCTCCCTCCCCTTCAGTGTGAACTTCCTCCCGGCCTAACTGTGCGGTGATCGGGCTCAGTCCTCCCCCTGCCCCCCATTTGTTCGTCCGGAGGAGCAGCGCACAGGGTTATGTGGCAGGTCACTCGAAGAAATGGCATTTAACCAGTAACTGTAAATTTCAACATGGAGACTAGCCTAGGAAGGCCTTGAACAGCAGCCTGAAAAGTTAAAACTGCTTCTTTCCGGCCGTGGGAGCCACTGCACATTTCTGCGTAAGAAGTGAGTGCTGCACAGAATGGCGTTGCAAGAGCGTTATTGCCCGTTGCTGCCCGCGGCACCTCGGGGACTGGAAGCCGAGGACGCGTGCAGTTAGGAGTTCAGGCTGTGGAAGCCTGTTCTCCGCTCTGTCTTCGCAGACGGAGCCTCAGAGACAGGTGCGAGGATAGACTGGGCTTCGGGAGGAGCCCGACGCTGCGTGTCAGTGGGAGACTGGCGTTTCAGGGTCACTGCGTTAGTGTCCAGTGGTGTAAGCTTCTGCGGTGATTGAGCTGCGTGCGTCCTCGACAGAGAGAGAAACTGCACTTGGAGACTTCCCAATGCAGCGCAGCGGATTTTGCATTTTTGTTCAAGTGGAACATGACCGTTGCGAACAGCACGTCAGGCCGAGGATTGGGAGCTCGGCCTCGTGGGGGGTGGGGGTGGGATTAGCCGCCGCCTCCACACCTAGCAGTGGTCTTTGAAAGAACATCTCCTAGGCTGTCCCCCGTATGCCGAGTAGCACCGCAGGTTTCCAGGTGTTGCCGTCTCAGTTTAGGCAGCCGCAGGACTTTTCAGAGCACGCAGAGAGCTTAACAACAGACTGAACACACGAGACAGAGCCCTGACTGGGGATGGAAGTAGAGCACGGGCGCAGCTGGACCTCCGTGGGAAGCACAGCTGGACAGAGGACCTGGACTGGAGTTACTCCTGGGAGGGCGATGTGGCTCCTCAGCCAGTGGCTGAAATCCGCCGCTCTCGCCGCTCTGGTCTCTGATGACACCATCTGGCACTTAGCAGAGGTACTGTCACTGAGGAGCCTGGGCATGTGGCTGAACAGGAGTAAAGTGCAGCGCCTGCCTGGTGACTGCGAGGCCTAGGGTGCTGGAAAAACCACCCGGCCTGGGTAGCCCGCATTCAGTCTCCGTTCTGTGGCTCGGCAGCCGGGAGAGGCGTAGCTGGGTAGGTCTGACTTGCTGTCCCAGCAGTTACAGCAGGCAGGCCACTTGCCTCCTCCTGGGCTGGAGCGACTTGATCACATGGGGCGGGGGCTCCTGGGCTCTCTCTCTCTGCCTGGTCTCTTCGACGTGGCAGCTCCAGGCAGGCGGACTTACTACAGGAAGGCCCTGGGCTCCACAGGTGTCTCTCCAGAGAGCCAGGCAGAAGCTGTGTCCTCGGACCTACCTGGGACATCGCCTGGCGTCGCTCTCCTTACTCAGGTGGCCAGAGCAGCCACAAGCTCAGGAGCAAGCAGAGACGGCGTCCTGGTGGGAGAGCAGGGGGAGTGCTGCTGTGGCCATAGGTTGGGGGCCTACTGGCCCCAGTGCCCCCTCCCCCCTTGTTGGGGCTGCTGTTGTGAGAATCCCCCGGTGTTCTGGGGCCTCACTGACGTCTCTGCCCTGTAGGTCCTGGCAAACGTGGCCTACATCATCATAGAATCCACCGAGGAGGGGACCACGGAGTACGCCTTGTGGAAGGACTCTCTGTTTCTGGTGGACCTGCTGTGCTGTGGGGCCATCCTCTTCCCAGTGGTGTGGTGAGTACCCACAGGGAGGGAGGCTGTGTGCACCCCACGAGGCTTGTCTGTCAAACCCGGCAGCTGGGCCAGCCATTCCCAAACTGGGAGTCACGCGGGCATCTGTGTAAAACACACAGCTTTCTGGGTCCCAGACCATCTGAATCATCTCAGGACCCTGGCTTTTGTGTCCTGTCAGGTTCCCCAGGGGATCCTGATGGAGCTAGTCTGGCAGCCTGGCTGGTTTGTAGCGCAGGCTGGCAATAGAGTCTGGAAAGGAGAGCTTAGCAGCGATGTAAATAGCATGGATTTGGAAGGAAAGGAGTTGAAGAAAGCCCATAAATAAGCTCTTCTTGCCAAGGTAGATGGGAAAAAAGGAAGTACGTTAACATAAAACTAGTGCTAGTGCCCAGCCCAGGTGGCTTAGTGGTTAAGGGTTGACTCATCAACCAGGAGCAGCAGGTTCCAGGGGCACATGCCTGCACGCCCCCTACTGGGTATCAAGCCAGTTGCAGGCTCCATCCCGGTAGGCGGCGTGCAAGAGGCAGTGATCAATGATTCTCTCTCACCATTGATGTTTCTACCCCCTCTCCCTTCCTCTCTGAATCAATAAAAACTTTTTTTTAAAAAAAAAACCTAGTGCTAGTTCTGAGCATGTAAACATTTTGGACATCCTCAAGAATGGTGGCTTTACTCCTGGAAATGGCAGGCGTTGGATGCAGAGCTTGTAAAGAAGCGTGAGGCCAAGTCAGCGCTTGGTGAGAAAATGTCCTCATTAAGCCTCATGCAAACTGAAGGCAGTTCTTGGTCCACTGGGAAGCAAGTAGAGGGAAAAGGCCAGCAAAAATAAGACACTCCCCTTATAACAATCCAGTTCCGTGCTCCTTGAAAGCAATGAATTATTTTGGAATAAACTTTAAAAACAGTAGATTTCCTGCTTCCTATTAGAGGTGAGGTGTTCCACACTGCAATGCCTCATGCACTTAAGTTAATATTTTTTAGGATCCTGGGTTTATAGGTCATTTACTTATTCTGATTATTTAGGACATGGTGTCAGTGGAGTGTAGTCCTCATTCCAGCCAATTAGATTCACTCTTAATTGGCTCAGGCGCAAGCACAGAGACGACATCTTGGTGGGAGAGAGCACGTGGGAGTACTTAACCCTCATTCCATATATCACGCGTGTACAGGTAGTAATTGAGCAGAGAAGAGAATTCGAATGAGCTATTTTATCTCTGCAGCCTCCTCACATCCTGCCCAGGAATAAGTTAACTCAGGTGTCTGTGACCAGATGGCCAGCATTGTGTTCAGGCAGGAAGTGTCCTGGGAGCATTTGAGGTCATGTCCCCCAGCGCATATCATCAGTTAGACACAGACATTTCAAAAGAAAGAAAGAGAGCAGCCTGTTGCTCGGGAACAGAGTAAGACTACTCACACCTGCCACTCAGCAAAGTGGAAGGGTCAAGGGCACACGGGGAGACCCAGACACGCTGTAGAGGCACAAAGGACCACTGCCTGCCGCTTGCTCCTTACAGCACTAACAAGCAGATGCCGCAGGCAAGCTTCTGTCAGGTAAATATTCTGAAAAGCTGTACAAGAGAAACGTCAAGTACCAGAGAGGAGATTTAAGAAGCAGCCACATTTGGACATGAAGTGCACTGTGTTTGGAAGGGTTATGTATGGTCTGGAGGCTCTAGAGCAAGCATGTCAAACTCAAAGGCTAACGGGCCAAATAAGCTAGGTTTAAGTGTCTGTGGGCTGCAAAAAGACAAAAGCTTCAATTTTCATAGAAACATAGGTTTATTTCGATAGAGACATGCTGAACACAAAGGGCTGAAATAAATGAGTAATTCTTAACATAAAATAATAGAACATTTTAATAAAAATTAATATTTTTTCTTGAACATTAACTTAACCAGACACTGAATAACTGCACAAATTAATAAGCGAAATGCAAATAAACCTATTTTTCTTGTTCTCCGAAAGCGAAATATTTCCTGTTGTGCATAGCAAACAAGTCAATACAAGACTAATGACGTGGCAGGGGGCTAAAATATTTGCTGCTAGTATTAGTGGAGAGAAATGGTGCGCCTGTGCATAAGGCACATAAGGAAAATGAATGCAACACGATATTGTGAAAATTAAGTTACAAAATTTTTATTAAAACATTTCTTACATACCATATGTTGGCTGGGCCGCAAAAATATTCCTTGTGGGCCCAGAGTTTGACATACTTGCTCTAGATCAATTGGAGACATTGCCAGTAAATGAGATGTATTGATCTCTTAATGCCTCGTTTAAATAAACGAGGCATGTGGCCTGCTGGCCACGAGTTTGACATGCTTGATGTACACATTAAGGATTCGTGCCAACCCATTTGCTCAGTAGCTGTAACAGACATGGACAGCTACTTGGCAAACTATTTGAGAAGCACACCTGTCGTGGTTTACTCACTTTTAATTATGTCAGAGGTTGCATCATCCTGCTTGATCATAACTAAGATCTTCTGAGCTGGTGGTTCCACTGGGAACCAAATGGTTCTTACTCCCATTCTTACACCATATCCTTTACCATAATTCATGTCTGATGTATTTGTTTAACTTTAATTTTTGTTACATAAAAACATTCATTTTTAAATGCTGTTTCAAACCAGTCATTTTTGAGCATCCTAGTTATAAATTCCTACTATATCTAAAAAACACACAAAACATTCCAATCCAGCAGCGTTGGTTTGGTGTCACCTTTGTGCTACTTACTTTCAGGTGTTGCTCCATTCAGTTCTCACAAGTGGGCAGACCACGGGGGTTTTAGGAGACGTAATTCATTCACAGTCAAGTGGAGGGTGGTGGACTCCAGCCGGGTCTGACTGTCTTCCCCCTGGCCCATAGCTGCCTGTGTTGTGCTCATCCTTAAGACGGTCTTTCCCTGGGTGAACTCTACCTAGAACTCTGATCTGCAGTTTCTTTAATCATATTAATGTTCTCCTGCCAAAACTGTAATGACGGTCATTAGTTACCAGCACATCCCAGCCGGAAAAGAGACTCCCTGGAGGCCTGCATTTTTCAGCCAGGTTACAAATCTCTAGTCAGTGACAGACTGAGTTTGTATGAAGCTGTGTGCACAGCTCCTAGACCTAGACTTTCAAACCCATTCTCTCCAGGGAGCAGGTGAGATCCATGATGCTCCATTGTCTTAGTGGGGGGTGGGGGGTGGGGGGTAGTTGTAGGAATGAGATTAGAGAGATTAGGAATGTTTGTCTCCTCATGCCCAGGCCTCTGCCAGACAGGTTTTGGTCAGCAGGGCATCTGTACCTTAGGCTTAGGCACCATACATGCTGAAGTGGTGATGATCGAGGATCACATGGTTAGGAAGAGTCTAAAATCGTCCAGTTTAACCCTTTGAGTTTATAATCGAGGATTTCAAGGCCTCAGGTTACTGGCCCTGGAAGTAGAGAGGAGTGCAGATTTGTTAGCTAACCTTTTGTTCCCCAAATGTTTGTTTTTAGGTCGATCAGGCATTTACAAGAAGCATCGGCAACAGATGGAAAAGGCAAGTTCCCTGGAGCTCTCTTCCGGCTGCTCAGCCTTCCCCAAAACCACGCGCCTGGGCACTGCTGGGAGGTGGAGGAGGAAGGGTGTGTCTCTGGGCTGTCTCCCCAGGAGCAGAATGGGGGTGCCCGCTTGGGGAGCTTGGGGGCTTGTAGAGCCGCCGAAGGATGTTTGGTGAAGACGACGCAGATGCGCACAGTGCAGAGCCCTGCTGGGTGAGGAGGCTTGGGGTGACTGCTGCTTATTCTAAGCTGGTTCCTGTCATTTCCACCTTCTCAAAACTGCGTCAGAAAGAGGAATCTTGTCTTGGGAGGAGCAGGCAGCACTCACTGTGAGAGCGGTGGTTTATGGATGGGACGGCTCTGTGTAGAGCATCCATCCCTGCTGGCTTAACACGCTTCCAAAGTGGACGTGTTGGTATTAATTGAAAGTGAGCCTGCTGCCGGAAAGAGCCTGAAACTCTGCTTTTTAAATGGTTGTGCCATTAAGGCCCTTTTGCGTCTCCTTGATTTTCCAACCACGCCTGCTACGTCAGAAGCCACAGAGAAAATGTCTTGTGTGTTCCTGGGCTTGTTGGAATAATGTCCACGACTGCAGGCCGTCCGGTGTTGGGGGTGGGGGTTGGGAGCACTGCTCTCAGAGGTGGGAGCCGCCTCTGGGTCCATGAGATCACCACTCAGCGCTGATAGTGATGTTCTTTTTTTTTAAAAATTTTATATTTGTTGCCGAGTGGGTTTTTTTTTTTTAAGGTGAATTAAAAGTGAATTAAACCTGATTAAGGCTTCACACCAGTGTTGGGCAAGATCCTGGGGTTCTTAGGGCACAGCATTCGGGAGTATTCCTGATTTGGCCGAAAGAGCTTCTGTTGCAATTCCTGCTCTCTGGCCCGTGTAACGCTCTTGCTCAGCGCAGCCTGCTGTGTGAGGGTCCTGCCTAGACTGGGAGCCCTGGGCAGTGCTCAGAGCCCCTCTCCCAAGGCCGACCCCACAAGTCTTCTGCTTATATCATGCTGCGTAGCCTTCCTCCAAGCCATGGAACTCCCAGAGCCTTCCTTCCTGCCTTCTGGGAAGGGGGTAGAGGAAAATTGCAAAAAATAAATTAGAATTTAAGTAAAGCACCTTACAAACAGAAAACAGAAAAATCCAAAGGAGAAAATAAGAACCCCCTTCTGGGTATAATTATAGTTTGGAGCTATTCTTGTTTTTTGTTTTTTCTTCTTTAATGCACATTATAAGTTGCTTTTATTGTTTTTGTAACTTAATGAATAGGTCTTTCTCTTAATTTATTATATTGATATGAGACATTTTATTTGTCATCTCTATACACTTCAATATTTTGGACTTGTTTTTTGACTGTTTGGCTGTTCCGCTGAAAATGTTTGAGAATCCCAAGGGCAATATTTTTGGTTGATAAATTTAATCTGTGCTTTTTTTCCTGGCTTCATACTTCCCCGCTTCATTCTTCCTCACCTCCATCATTCTGGCCCCTCTGTCTCTGCCTTCGCCACCTTGCGTTTAGAAGGCGTGGGGATTACTGTCTCTGTGGCCGTTCATTCCATGAGAGGTTGGTCATTGGCTGAAGACTTACTAAGCTCTGGCGGGGTAGATAGCACAGCAGGTGAAGCCTAGGATGGGTCTGTCTTGTCCCCCAGCAGCTGTAGTAAAGAGAATGGAAAGCTTTTGTCCTCACCTGGGGCACATGAGGCAGCTCCTCGTTTGTTCCACCAGGTGACAGCAGAGAGCGAATATGAAAACAGGAAGTCACGCAAGCACACCAGGACTCATTCACCATTCTCAGGATGACATACTGTTAAAGCACCCACCCATTCCTCATCAGCAAATACCGGGAGCCCTTTGAAAGGGGACAGAGTAGATTAGAATAGGGATGTCTTCCGAGTTGATTTAGGCCACGGGATGCATTTAAGCTAATCTGCAAATGCATATTTCAGTCTGTACTTTGAAAAATGCTTATGCTTGTGACACTTCCAGAGTCAGGGCGGCCTTTTCCCAAGGCTGAGGTCTGCCCTGCAGAGAACTCACAGGAACAGCACACATCCATCCCCACCCCGCCCCCCAGTGCTGGGAGCCAGCCTGAGTATGACTGCAGAGTGGCTGCGCTTGCGTGTCCGTCCACTCCAGGACAGACGCAGGCAGTGCCAGAAAGCTAGAGTGAGCCCGTGACTGACTGACCGAGGTTCCGGGATACTGTGGTCGACCCGCTGTGCCCCTCAGCTCACCCCACCAAGGTCTAGCCCATCCTAGAGGCCACTGGCAAAGTGAAGGCCAGGGGCAGGAAGGTCTCCTGGATTTGGAAGCAGTTGCTGCATGTAACCTGTTCTTAGGCTCATTATTCCACTGACTCATTGCGTGACCTTGACACTGACCTGGGCGTGAGACTCAGTGTAAGTGCAGTCCAGGCTGACTAACTGCAAGTAGGGGAGGTGCTGTGTACAGTCGTCCTGGGCCCGGGGCTGCACTCGGCGTGCAGGGGCTGTTTGTTTGGGTTCTGTTTACTTCTTTGTGTCTGGACTCCTTTTGACTGAACCCGAGGGAAACATAAGGATGAAGCTCCCCACTGTCCTTAAGCTGTATCTTTGTCTCTTGTCACACACCCGCCTCTGTCAGGTCCTGTCATTTTGAGTCACTGCTGGCTGTGTCCTCTGGGAGGAAGTGTAATTGAGTCTCACACGGCACGCAGAGCTGTGGGCCGCTGTTCGCCTGCCAGGCTTTCCTGGCTGGCACTGCTCTTGCGCCTGCATCCCTGTCGGCCCCTCTCCAGTGTCGCTACCTTAGAGGACTGGCTTGGGGGTGTGCACTGTACATTCATTCACGATTTCTGCTCCTGATCACCTATTTTTCCTTGTTTCTGAGGAAAATTTAGAGGACATATTCTGAGAAATTTTAGCCTTTATATGTGAGCTTCCAAAGCATGTAAGCCGATAGCAATTGGCTAGTTGGGTTTATGGAGGCTTTGTTGTGAGCTGCTGTAGCCGTAAGTATTTGTCAGAGCAGCAGTTCACAAGAGGGTCCTTGGGGCCAAAACTACTTTTCTGCAAAAGCAGAAGTGGGTCAAACAGCTGGCACTGAGGGGGGTTCAAGGCAGCGCACCACAGTATATGAGGGGCCAGTGCATTCTTCATTGCCTCCTGCCTGCAGGGGGTGGGAAAGGCTCGTTTCAAGAGTGGCCTTGATGGATAGTGGACACCACATGAGTTTGTCTTCTCACATCCTGTGTGATGGGCGGACCGTGTGCGGGAAGCACTTGTGCTGCGTGCCGCAGCTGGCGGCTGTCTGAGGAAGCCTGGGCAGGGGTCTGAGTGGCAGGCTGCACTGGCCACTCTCCTCTTGGGACATTTCTGGTATTTGGAAGAATGATGGCAGTCATATTGTGGTTACCCAGACCTCGTTTTGGCAGACTTTTTTTCCTTTTCCGTCAGACGGGTAATGTGCCCGTGCAGTAACAAGGTTTGAGGGGGGCACATCTCACATGAGGATGTGAACACCCAATCATCACCCTTAGGAACCACAAAGGACCTGACATTTTCTTGCAAATGATCAAAGTAAGCATGTCACTTCAGGAAAACAACTACAAGTATTTGTTGCCAGTGACCTAGTTCTCTCTTGAAAGCACAATTTTTAATTTAGGAAAACTTGGGTCCACCACTGCAGGCTCAACAGCTCTGGTTCTTAAAAGACTTCTGATGGGAGCAGGGCTGATATTAACAAAAGTGACTGTAAAGAAAGTATTTATGTTAAAAGTTGCATGTTTCCAAGATGTGCTGAGCACAGTGGGACAGTATTCTTCACCGGATCAGTGCATGTCACACAACCGCCGCGTGAACACCAGCGGTCCCTTCAGAGTGCAGCATGGACCAGAGGGGTCAGTGTGACAGCATGAAAGTTCATGGCTACAGTCTCAGAGTCCTCTCCATCTTTCAGCACCTGCCATTTGTCAAGTTTTAGTGTAAAGACTGCTCACAGCTACCTGACCAGGCCTGCATCTCTAAGGCCATACTTTCTCCATCTCCTTCAACCAAACACTTCTTCCCAGCGCACTGGGAGTCCACCGTGTTCACTCAGCCAGACAGGAGAGACAGTGACAAAAGTGGGGAACAGTCCCATGCTTCTCAGGAAAATTTCCGTTATTTGTTAAGAAAAATATTATTTATGAATTTTGTCACTTTTAAATGAATTATTAAATATTAGAGGCCCAGTGCATGGGTTTGTGCACCAGTGGGGTCCCTCAGCCTGGCCTGCGGGGATCCAGCAAAACCGGTTCCAACACCCCCCTAGGAGTCCCAGATTGCGAGAGCGTGCAGGCCAGGCCAAGGGACCCCACTGCACCGGGCCTCTAGTATGCATATAAGATCTTTGGTTAAACTCTTCCTGCCCTCCCTGCTCCCCCCTTCCCTCTGAGATTCATCAGTCTGTTCCATGTTTCCATGTCTGTGGTTTCTGCTCCTGAGTTGAGCATCTGCCACCTGGTGGTCAGTGCTCATCATAGCTAGCAGTGGGCCAGTTACTTAGGCTTTTATATATATATATATATATATATATATATATATATATTTATATATATACTAGAGGCCCAGTGCACAAAAATTTGTGCACTGGTGGGGAGGGGGTTGGGGGGGGGTGTCCCTCAGCCCCACTTGTGCCCTCTCACAGTCTGGGACCCCTCAGGAGATAACCACCTGCTGCTGGCTTAGGCCCGCTCCGCGGGTGGCAGATGGCAGGTCCGATCCCTTGGTGCCTGTCCCGCCTCCCCAGGTTGCGCACATGGCAGGGCCGATCCGGGGGTTGGGGCACCGCCCCGGGTCGGATCACACATGGGAAGCCTGGGCGGGCCAGCCGATCGCTGCTGCCCCGTCGGGCTGCCCCGGGTCGGGTCGCACACGGGATGCCCGTATGGAGGCCAGGTGGGCTGGCTGATCACTGCTGCACCACCTGGCCATCCCGGGTCGGGTCGCAAACGGACGCCCGCCGCCCCAGGTCGCAGATA